TGACGAGATTAGTTGGTGTAAGGGAGACAACTCTATGCTAGTCGGCATGATGTGAGCTAGATACAAAATGTATGTAGGTGCATTCATTTACCATGAAAACCACATAGGTTCCCTCATGACCATAGTCAAACAGACGCCATGAAAAATACCCTCCTGTGACTGACTGACTGACTGAGTTCAGTTTTACGCCGCTTTTAGTAATATTCCAGCAATATCACGGCAGGGGACACCAGAAATGGGCTTCACACATTGTGCCCATGTGGGGAATCGAACCCAGGTCTTCGGCCTGACGAGCCAACGCTTTAACCACTAGGCTACCCCACCGCCTCCCTCCTGTGAAGCAGACAAAAGAAATGTTCAGCCCAAGACTGTCTAGAATGAGCATTAGCATCAAGTTACTTGTTGATGAAACTCAATCACTTGTACTTAGTTCATCGTAAGCTAAAATGTTAATTTAGTTTGATAAATGTGGATCTTGTGAAGCCTGAGGTAATATTTTTTATTCAAGAAAACATTGACTTTGTACCCCATGCTTGGTATTTACACATTAGCTCTCAATGAATGATTAGGATTTTATACAACTTATAGCAATATTCCAGCAATATCAATGTGGGGGGGATCCCTTAATAGGGCTTCAAACACTGTACCCAAGTGGGGAGTGAAAATCAAGAGTCAGACGTCCAGATAACTGCACGGCTACATCAATATTGCAGTGAGCTGCACACAGCTCAAGCTATACAACTGCAGTCTGTAAATAATCAAGTCTCAATCCAGTGATCAACATCATGAGCATCAATCTCCACAATTGGGATACAAGGAAATGTATCAACCAAGCCAGCATAGCTGACCACCCAATCCCAACAGTCACCTCTTATGACAAGCAAGGGATGCTGGAAGTCTAACTGTAATGTAGTGCACACTAGAATAGTTATAGTCTAGCATCTTACCCACATTCACATCCTCCACGTACAAAAGCAGCACAGCAACTCACAAGATCTGTTATCAGCTGGACAAAGGTTCTCACAATACTTCCCTGTTCATATATTTATGTTAAGGAATTACACAAGGGTAGTAAATACATGCTCATATAACCTGTGAAGATCCCTTGTGAGTTCCCTGTTGAGGTCCCCTACGATGTGAGATCCCTGTTGAGGTCCCCAAATGTCCCTTGTGAGAGAGTCCCTTTGAGCAGATTCTTATTGAGTTCCTTCTTAAGGTCCCTGTTGAGGTCCCTACAAGCTCTCCTTGTGAGTTTCCCTCATGAGGTCCTTAATGAGGTCCCTGTTGAGGTCCCTACAATGTCCCTTGTGAGATCCCTAGTGAGATTCTTATTGAGTTTCCTCTTCAGGTCCCTATTGAGGTCCCTAAAAGCTCTCCCTTGTGAGTTTCCTCGTGAGGTCCTTGATGAGGTTCTTGTTGAGGTCCCTCTATGGTCCTTGTGAGATCCCTAGTGTGATCCCTGTTGAGGTCCCTACAAGCTCTCCCTTGTGAGTTTCCTCGTGAGGTCCTTAATGAGGTTCCTGGTGAGGTCCCTCCATGGTCCCTTGTGAATTCCTTAGTGAGGTCCCTGTTAAGGTCCCTACAAGCTCTCCCTTATGTGTTCCCTTGTGAGCTCCATACTGAGGTTCCTAGTAAGGCCCTTGTGGCTTCCTTGAGGTCCCAAATGAGGTCCCTGGTGAGGTAGCCTTCTTAGGGTTGTTACATATCGTCTTGAAGTTTAAGAGTTTGTTCTGAATATTCTTCTTAAACTAGTTGAAAATAAACTTGCAAAGTTACCAAATAATAAACCTTCCTTTGATGACGGTCTTTACAAAAACACAGAAATCATTCGAAAAATTATTGATGTTTAAGACGTCGTTTCACATACTGAAATAACTTGGAAATAATGTTTAATTACAATGAGAGTGAACTACCCATTGATAATACTACACCATTTGCAGAAACATATCAAAACTCAATGTCAGACAACAGTTTAGTCAAGCAGACATGACATCAATCTGTAGAACATATTTTAACTGGGATACGCCAAACAATTAAAGCCAATACTGAAAACTAAATTACAGAAAACTGGTAATTTATCACACACTTATTTCTCCCCATTTTTTAACTGTAAATGTCACATGGATGTATGTCTTCTACAGCAATGGAGACCCAGTGAAATATTCGGTTTACTAAAACAGTAAAACCTTAGTGATAACCAACACCTATTAACATGTCACTGACGCGAGATGTAAGGCTGTGATGACCTTTCTGTGGAAGAATGCCATCCATTGTGCATGAGCTTCAGCAAACCAGCAAAGCAGACAAGAACACTTGCAACCTTTTTCCTAATACCTTTACAGGTGAACCCTACAAAGAAAACTTTTTCTCATCATCCACAATTACGTTTTCTTAGATCAAGCTTTTGGTTCTTTTCTTGGATTAAAATTTTCTTTTGTGGAACATTTGATTGGTGCAGCTTAAAGAAATCTGGTTCAATTAAACAACATAAAACACAACCTTGAAAACTTGAGGAATAGGTTATCAAAAAATCTAACCAACCTAAAACATTAAAAAGAATGGCTCATATTTTTAAAGATCTTAGAAGAAATAACACAATACATGATCTTAGGGCTTGTTATCCATACAGACCATCGAGATCCATCATCATTAATTAAATATCAACCAATTATTGATAAATATCAGAGAAGTAACTTTGATCAAAGAAGCCCAAAACATGTGAAAGAAATCAAAATATTTCACATCACTGGTGAGTGGTAATATATTTAGGCTTGGATTACAAACAAAACACAGACCTGAACAAAATTTAGAAGCAGCCCATGAATAAAACCCAAAGTTTGTGTATTGTCTGAGCAAATTGAAACTTTATTTCATCACACACTTTTATACACGATATTATCAATGACAACATTTCCATACCGATAATGATTAATAATTTTTCGCATCAACAATGTTTCCAATTATCAATCGTTTTAACTAGACCTATATGATTGCAAGGCATATTACTTTATATTGTATTTGGGGCGGTGGGGTAGCCTAGTGGCTCGTCACGCCGAAGACCCGGGTTCGATTCCCCACATGGGTACAATGTGTGAAGCCCATTTCTGGTGTCCCCCGCCGTGATATTGCTGGAATATTGCTAAAAGCGGCACAACACCACACTCACTCACTCACTCACTACATTGTATTTGGTATCAATTTTGTGATTTAGAATTACATTTATTTACAAAAGAAGGCATTCAACCTCCAACCCAGCTATTTTTGTAAAGACTCAGCTTATTCACATCCAAACTGGTGGAAAGTGTCCAGTCTACTACCGGTACATTCATAACAACTACATCTTACAAACTCTTCAACAACTGATTACTGGCTTTATTCATACTTCAGCTGTAAAATTTCATTTTATGATATTCAGTTATAAAAAACGTTTCTTATTTTATTTTTTCACAAAGTTACAAGGTGCCTGTTCAGCTGAATCTACAGCCTAGCAAGTTTGGGCCAGGGTCAGCTAACCCTGTGGTTGATAGCAGAAGCATTTAGCAGACGAGGTTAAATCTGCCAAAGTTCTTCACAGCTATTGTGACTAACATGCTGCTACTAAAGTCACAGGAAACATGGGACTTCAGTCAGAGTGAGAGGGTGAGTGAGTAAGTATGATTTTACATGACTGTGAGCAATATACCACTAACTATAGCTAGGTACGTCAGGATAGCACTTTATACATTGTGACCATGCTGGGCATGGAACCTGAGGTTTCAGTAAGATACACGGACATGTATACCCTTCCTTACCTGCAGTACCTTAGACCATGGCACCATCATTGCACCAGATACAACACTCACTTAATGTGGGATCTTGCAAACATCTTTGATATTTAATCTTATTTCTAATATGGTACATTTCTGAAATGTCTAACGGAATATGTCAACAAAATGTCAGAGGAGAGTCATTCAGTAATGAGAATGAATCTGATATTCAAATCCTGTCACCTATATGATAGACAACTCTGCAGTGAACGGTTACAGGCAGGGAGAGCCACATTTCTGAATCAGATAGCCAAACTTGATGGCTCTCCGGCAATAGTTGTGGTTGTGCCTTTCCGGCTATGCTGTCAAAACATGTTTAGTGATTCAAACAGGTTAACGTATTTAACAAAACAAGACATATGTTTCCTCGTAATTTTATTCAGATCACAACATGCTGATGTTTTACTTTCAATACTGCTGAATCAAGATATCTGTCAAGAAAGGCTTACTTTTGTTTGATGATTAAAATATATGCAGACTTATTTTCCCTTCATAAGTTTCTCGGAAATCTCAGCGTCAGGAACTGTGTCAAACATAGCGGTCGCATTTTATTAATATTCACAAAGTCCATGTATAAACTTAATTATTTCATTTCTGAATGAACATTGAAAAACGCTGGCGGAATTTGGTGAAATACTTAAAAATGGTTTTGTTTTGATCTTAAGGTTTTCTATAGTTGATGTTAGAATTAAAGATTTGAGTATCGTTATACGTCATCCCACCCTTATGATTCGTGATCAGCAGCTTCAGTGCACAATACTTTGGCAGTATATCGTTGTGACTAAAATTTTAGTATCATGATATATCGTATTGCAGGATGCCAATACCAGCACTAGTATTTATATAAGCAGGCTTTTAAATTGTGGACAATAAAAGATTCTTACTCCTCAAAATAATAACCCTTTTGGGTTTTCAACGGTAATCCATTAATTAATTAATTAATCTGTTGAAATGTGGCTTTACCGGCTACATCCATGTAATTTGGCCTTTAGTTATTTTGCAATGAATGCTACATGATGGGAAATTGTGGACAATAAAAGATTCTTACTCTCAAAATAATAATTTGATAACAGCACACAAGGGAAAAGGGTTTTTTTCAAAATTTGCCTGGCATGGAACCAAAGTTAAAAATCCTAAATACAGTCGCATGTAACCTCAGGAATACTGAATAAAAGCAAGGCAAAGAAAACATACCTTTGTGCTCTGACAAAATGCCACTGGCCATCGTAAAGTCTTGAATCATTATATCCAATAACTGCCTCTCCACTTCCCAGGTTATAGCGTAACTGCAGTCCTCCATCAACAAAACCTAGAGCCACGAAGTCACTGGACGACTCCATGGAATCTTGTCCACTCCAAAACAGTAAACCATTTTTACCCTTCGGTAAAATATGCATCTGAAGATCAATTTTGTTTCCCGTTACCCTGAAACGAAAACAGCAGGGATTCAAAATATGAACTACAAACAAAATCATCAATGTTCTTGAACAGTTTCTAACACTTTTACAGTACATCTCTATATTCAGATACGTTAAGGCTATAAATTGTTGTCCTGTTATATTTCACATATTTCTTTCACACATTTAGGACCCATAACATTTCACATTCACTTTTCACTTTACAAAATAAATCCTGCAATAGGGTCATGATGTGAAGGGGCACTATGTATTGCATGTTTATGTATCAATACAGTCAGACGTTGTTGAGTGCCAAATCAATTACATATTGATTCAATTGTTATATATACTTTGAAAACAAATATTCATATTGACATATTATTTGGTAAAATGGCCTCAAAAACATATTAACTTGTTCGAGGTGTTCAGCCAAGAGAAAAGTACTGACTGACTGACTGAGTTTGGTTTTACGCCGCTTTTAGCAATATTCCAGCTACATCACGGCAGGGGAACACCAGATATGGGCTTCACACATTGTACCCATGTGGGGATTTGAACCCGGGTCTTCAGCGAGACGAACCAACGCTTTAACCACTAGACTACCCCACCGCACCCCAAGAGAAAAGTAAACATGACAAAGTAATTATTCATGTTCAAAACTAATTCATTTTGAGATGGACTTGAGACAAAAGACACATCATGTCATGTTTAATTACAGTTAGTTATTTGTTTGGATTGTGTTGTTATACAAAACGTAGAACAAAATGAATTACAATACTGGTAATACATCCCTAACATATTGAATTCTCTCTTGTTCCTTTTCAATGATGTCATGTACATCTTTACACATTATCATTTAACAGGACATCTCACCTTTTCAATATTCTTTTGTCAGTAAACATTAGGAAACTAGTTCCAATAAACATCGGCTTTTCTGGTAGTTTTTCCATTCCTGAAATGAAACAAAATGAAAACAGTCAGAAGGTATATAGACAATGGGAGATAACTCTTCCACAGGGCCTTTCAGAGTCAAGACAACACTCAGAAGGTATATAGACAATGGGAGATAACTCTTCCACAGGGCCTTTCAGAGTCAAGACATCAGTCAAATGACACTTGTCATTATCACGATGAGTGACCTACACTCTCTACTCTACATGCAAATTTAACCAGCGACAAAACACAACAGTAAAAAAGCTTGCTGTGAAAACAAGATAGTACTATCCAAATCAACAAATCAGTCTTATGATCACATTATCTTCAAGTATGCAGCTTTAAAGCCTGACAACAAACTTTCCTATCTAGCCTATAACATTTTATGGAGAAAGTAAGGATTACTGAAAAGAGAAAGACACAATCAGTACTTAGCTGACACTAACCAGAAAAGACATTTCTTAAAAACAATACACCTACAAAATAGAACATCCCAAAAGAGCAATGCGAGAGCTGAAGCAATCTAGACTTGCCAAATCATTGTAGACTTCAGCTGGATTAATATTTCAATGCCTTCTCTACTGCCTGGGAGCAACATAGACTTGCCAAAAGATTCTCATCTTCAGTATTATTAATCTTTCAATGTACTCTCTATTGCTTTTAAGCAATCTATACTTGCCAAAACATTTTTGAGTGTTATAACATTCTAGACTTCAGTTATATGTTTCAGTGCATTCTCTATGGTGGGGGAGACTGTATCTATTGGGCCCATGAGTGTGCAGGACATGTGTTAGCACTACTCACTGTCTTCACAGTTAGTGTTGGCATATCCTAGAGGGCAGTAGCAGGTGTAGATGTCCCGCTTGGGCCGACACTCCCCACCATTCATACAGGGCTCGCCGGCACATGGGTGGCTGCAGGGCTCGATGTTGACCCCGTCCGCCATCTCCTTCATCAACCGCACCGGCCTCTTGTTGATCACAACCTAAAACAACAACATGATTGGTGACAATTGTTAGACCTGTATGTCATTATTGTCAGGTGGGAGATTTCTTGCTTCATCTGTCTGGCCAATGTACCTTTCATTTCTAAAGCTTTGAATGACTTTATTTTTCATTAGAAGACTAAGCAAGTTTATTACGGCTAATTCTGTGCACCTTGGGCAAATAGCAGGCAGAGTATTAGATCTAATATGTTTTCCATTTTTAAACATAGAGACATTAAAGAGATTTGTTCAAAACTTTACAATTATATTGACATTTTTAATGCTTAAAGCTGAATATGACATTTACAAGATATTTATTTGAAGGTAGCCTAATGGTTAAAGCGTTGGCTCGTCCACTGGCGAAGAGTACGGGTTCAATCCCCACATGGGTACAATGTGTGAAGCCCATTTCTGGTGTCCCCTGCCGTGATGTTGCTGGAATATTGCTAAAAGCGGCGTAAAACCAAACTCAGTCAGTCAGTCAGTCTATTTGAAATATGTGCCAAAAATCATAAGTATTTTCATCAATGTCTGTCAAGAGTTATCTCCCTTATTCCACAAGATCTTCCCAGCATAACAAGTAAAAATTGACAGCAACAGAGAATACTGAACATCAAACTGATATGTTGTTGTCAACAACCCCCCGATTAACAATACAAGACATAGTGTACTGCACACATACATCACAAAGTAGGTTAGATCATACAGCCATCTTCCAGTCACAGGGAGATGTGTAGGAATATACATCAGGGCCTATTGGTACAACTGTTGTACATCCCATTCTTTAACACAGACTTATGATAGTTGTAGCTCTAAAATCACTTTAAGGAAAAGAATCCTGCATCTCTTTGTGGCAAACTTTTGAAATACTTCTAAAATTCTTCTACTACTAAAATTCTTCAAAATAAAATACCTGTGAAGGTCCAGGTTAGAATATTGATCTTCAGTAGCCCATGCTTGTCGTAAGAGGCGACTAACCGGATCGTGTGGTCAGGCTCGCTGACTTTGTTGACACATGTCATCGGTTCCCAGTTGTGCAGATCAATGCTCATGCTGTTGATCACTGGATTGTCTGGTCCAGACTCGATTATCTACTGACCACTGCCATATAGCTGGAATATTGCTGAGAGTGGCGCAAAACTAAACTCACTCACTTCATCATAAAATACTTCCAACAGGGCATTAAACTAGCCCCAATGACAGCCAGCTTGGCCTCACCTTCTGTATACAGCCTACAAAGGAGTTGGTCATGTTGTGGTACTTGGACACCTCGTCGTAGTTGCGATGTCCCCCAATGAACAGCCCCTCCAGTAGCGTGAGCTGTGTGTACGCCCCCTGTGCCTCCCCTTCGCTGCGGGGCTGGTCATCCACCTCGAGGATGCCCTGCAGTCCGGTCCGTGATGCTCTCGCCACATGCCAGTGGTCAAGGGACACGGGTAAGTGACTCCTGGAACAAAGGTGGGGGGAAAGTGTGACAGAATAGAACCTGTATCACACACTTACTTTGGTACAGTAATCACACTAGCTGCTTCAGATAAAGCCAGTCAGCTTGATGTCCTGTATTTCTTTATATGCACTGAATAGTGCTTGCATATAATCTACTGGCACTAGCCATCATCTCTCAAAAGTCTACACAAATATAGACGTACACTAAGCTTTGAGAAACTGAAATCACATTCCTGTATGTATCTACTCACTCTTAATGAAATATAGTCACATCTAAAGAGAGTCCTGTTCAATTTCCAATTTCACACTTCCTGAAATGTTCATAATATGGAAATCCTCTTCTGAATAAAAATTCTATAGAGCCTTAGACTATCACAATATTCTACAAACCTGCCACTCAATGACCACATATGTTCCAGACCTCAAAATGCAATATCAACTATTCTGTTATTTTAAGAATCCTTCAGTACAATAGTGAACATACATAAATTTGTGGTAAACATTTTAAAACTAAATAGTTTATTGTGCTCAGAGTTTGAATTGTTTCCTTTCTCTAGGAACCATCCAGAGCATCAGAAACTGACTTTATTCAGTAATATCATCAACAAACATGAACAGATTTTCAAATTCTACTGACCTTATGACAGCCGGACCAGTTCCAAGGTCAAAGCTAAACTCGATGATTCCATCCCTGAGAGCGAGAGAGATAAAGTCTCCCTTCCTGTCCTTGGTGTAGCCATTGTAGAGGATGGAGCCGTCAGGCATCATGGGCTTGAAGACCACCTCGATCTCGGTGTAGGACAAGACCCGGCGGTTCAGACCCTCGTACTGCAGGTAGGAGTGACCACTGAACCGAGGGATGTGCACGTCGTGTCCTGAAACAGCAACGAACATGCAGGGTCAGAAGTATCAAGTGACAACTACTTATAGATGGTTGAAAGTGAAAAGGACTTCTGTTGAACTTTGATCCGTTTAAATTTTATAGTTTGATGACTGCTAAAATACAAGAATTATGGTCCTGATCTAATTATGGTTTTGTATTTAAAAGAATTTATTGTTTTACTTCTGTATGTTTTTGTAGTACTGACAAAGGAGTGTATGAAATCCAACATATATTTTTACGCTGAAGAACATTATCAAAATATGGTGATTCAGAAAGAGTCATAGGACTCTTGGAAAAAGATATGAACCTTTAAGAATCACCATCAGATCCATGAATTAGATAAGGCAGTTCAACATATGAGCATGGTAATAGGTTCATAGTTCAAGTGTACAAGACATTTAACTTTTTTAAAAACCTTGTATATATGATAGAATTGAAGCTCTTTTCTGAAAGTCCAACTAGTTGAATAGTGAATAACTGTTTGCAATTGTCTGCGACAAATGTTGAAGTACAGTTGTTGCAGGACTTACGTTTCTCACAGAAATCTCCAGCAGAACCAAGAGGACACAGACAGACATGGCTGTCAGCGGAGCGAGGACTGCAGGAACCGCCATTCTGACACACAATGTTGTCACAGATTCCCTCACTGCACTCACCTGGAAACAAACACAGTAGTATCACAGCAGGTCCAAACATGGCAACACTTACATACCACCTAAAACATACAATATTGGACCAAATTCTCTATCTCAGCATGTGTTCCCACATTACAACACCAGTAGGATTTGTTTCGCAAGAACTAACGCTCTTACCACAAGGCCATCCTACAGCCCTGAGAATCAAGGGATTGTTACAAAAAGGATCGGTCAATGTAACTGAGATATAAACACTCTCACTCGACCATGTCACAAGCTGCGATCACCTGATAGATTTAGTCGTTTCTTATGTTATTATTACTTATTACCTACGAGGGCGAACATATCAGGGTTCATATTTTTCATACAATGCCCTAGGGCAAAATATCACATTGACATGGTGACGTGACGTCTTAAACAAGGCTATGACGTCACATTTCTTCTGTGACGTTGCCGCCTACATGCGGCGACGGCAGGTAGCTAGCCTATGTTTGAAAGTAGATTTGGGTGTATTTTTCTCAATTTGACGACTTCGGTAATAAACAGAATATTATATTCGTGCCCATATCATACTATGTTTACGACATAGTGCCTTAATATCGGCATATCCCTCGCTCTCGCTCGGGAAATACCAACATTTAGGCATTCGTGTCGTAAACATAGTATGACACGGTCACTCGTATAATATCCTCTATATACCACAGGACAGGACCTATATTCTTAACCAGAATCCCTCAATTACTTAGTGTAAAATGTCGAATGATTCTAATGTTATGACTTGCCATTATTTACAATACAATTCTGCATCTAATAGTAAACAAAAACAACACACATACCAATCACTATACATGAGGCAGCTACTCACCAACATTGAGTCCGAACTGTGCATCCCCAATTATCTCCCCCTTCCTCATGTCGTACTTGTAGCCATTGATGCTCAGTTCCTGGACACAGCCAACATACTGCTTGGCCATGCCGATGCGGTCAGTTATGGAGGACATGTTGCTGTAGCCGCCCAGGTAGAGGTGGAGGCGGAGGGTGATACGGGTGTATGCGCCCTGAAGCATAAAGTACATGCATGCTTAAAGCTGCATAAAATTCGAACTAAAACAAGAAATTACATATCAGAATATCATTTTGTGTCCTTCGGTGGACTTTACAGCTGTATTTTTAGTGACATCCTGGTGTGCAGCAGGAGTGTTGAGGGTAGTGTTATGTGACACATCATACTGACTGACTGAGTATGGTTTTACGCCGCTTTTAGCAACATTCCAGCAATATCACGGCAGGGGACACCAGAAATGGGCTTCACTCATTGTACCCATGTGGGGAATCAAACCCGGGTCTTCGGCGTGACGAGCCAACGCTTTAACCACTAGACTACCCCACCGCCCGTGACTAATCATAAATGACAGGCACTGTGTTGAGGAAACCCATGGATATGGCTCTGACTTGGCAAGGTGTACAGTCATGCTGAACCCGGGATTTGAACCCAGGGCCAGCAGAACATGGCAGAGAATTGTCTGTCCCTTTTCATATTAATCAAGTTAATCCTTGCCCCAACTGATTCCTTCCCACAGCAAGCTTAGCATCAGGATGAAAGTGACGCCAATATTGTAGCAAATAGACAAAGAGAGTCGTACCACTAGGATCACTTTACGGAACAGGGTCCAAGCTTTGAAACATCATTACATCGAAAAATATGGGCTTCAGATCCTTGCAATCCTTGCTTAGGTAAGGGAAGCAAATCTCCAAAGTGAACTGCAGTACCTTATACCTGGACCACCTGATCAGTCTGCATTTGCAAATCCATATTGTCCTAACAGACTGTACAAGTATCAACATATACCACCCTTCCAATATCATATTGTCCGTACAGACTGTACAAGTATCAACATATACCACCCTTCCAATATCATATTGTCCGTACAGACTGTACAAGTATCAACATATACCACCCTTCCAATATCATATTGTCCGAACAGACTGTACAAGTATCAACATATACCACCCTTCCAATATCATATTGTCCGTACAGACTGTACAAGTATCAACATATACCACCCTTCCAATATCATATTGTCCGAACAGACTGTACAAGTATCAACATATACCACCCTTCCAATATCATATTGTCCGTACAGACTGTACAAGTATCAACATATACCACCCTTCCAATATCATATTGTCCGAACAGACTGTACAAGTATCAACATATACCACCCTTCCAATATCATATTGTCCTAGACAGACTGTACAAGTATCAACATATACCACCCTTCCAATATCATATTGTCCATATACCACAGACTGTACAAGTATCAACATATACCACCCTTCCAATATCATATTGTCCGTACAGACTGTACAAGTATCAACATATACCACCCTTCCAATATCATATTGTCCCAACAGACTGTACAAGTATCAACATATACCACCCTTCCAATATCATATTGTCCTAACAGACTGTACAAGTATCAACATATACCACCCTTCCAATATCATATTGTCCTAACAGACTGTACAAGTATCAACATATACCACCCTTCAATATCATATTGTCCTAACAGACTGTACAAGTATCAACATATACCACCCTTCAATATCATATTGTCCTAACAGACTGTACAAGTATCAACATATACCACCCTTCCAATATCATATTGTCCTAACAGACTGTACAAGTATCAACATATACCACCCTTCCAATATCATATTGTCCGTACAGACTGTACAAGTATCAACATATACCACCCTTCCAATATCATATTGTCCCAACAGACTGTACAAGTATCAACATATACCACCCTTCCAATATCATATTGTCCCAACAGACTGTACAAGTATCAACATATACCACCCTTCCAATATCATATTGTCCGTAACAGACTGTACAAGTATCAACATATACCACCCTTCCAATATACAAGACTAAAGATGGCCCACCTGTGCTGTGCCTTCCACTATATCCCCCTCATTCAGCTGCAGACCAGCACCATTCTCCTCCCTCTGTACCGTCACCTGGTTCCACCTGCCCAGAGTTACCTCCCCTAGACTGCGCAGTACACCGATGCCTGTGCCGCAGTCAAATCTGAAACAAAGAGGAAAGAGTTAATGGGGTCAATACCACAAATTCTACATGTCGCTCGTTTAAAAGATAAATATTTTTGTTCCACTCTCTGCTGCATTATAGCAGGACATTAGGTTTTCACCAAGGGCAATCCTGAACAGGAAATGGAACCCAGGCACAATAGTAAATCAACCAATGGCCTGTGATGCAATCCTGTCAGAGAAGAGCTTCTTCACTTCTGCTCAGTAACAATTCTGGAAATAGATTCGTTCCTAAGATTCAACATGCTTTAATAATTGATGCAAATATAGCTGTCTCAGACCAGACTATTGTTATTCTATATTTTTTAGGTGGGGTGAGGTGACCCTAACATTTGCAATGTCAAAACTACTACATGTGAATAGTCTCTAAGTCCGCCTTCATGGAGCGAGCGAGTGAGCGTGAGAGCTGGAGGAGCGGAGGAGCTGGAGGAGAGTGGAGGAGTGAGTGAGAGTGAGTGAGTGAGTGAGTGAGTGAGTGAGTGAGTGAGTGAGTGAGCGAGTTTTAAGCCGCTTTCAGCAATATTCCAGCAATATCTCGGCAGTGGAAACCAGAAAAGGGCTTCACACATTGTACCCATGTGGGGAATCGAACCCGGGTCTTCAGCATGACGAGTGAATGCTTAAACCACTAGGTTACCCTACCACAACAAAAGACTTTAAAGATGGTACATGCTGTTACTCTACCATCAGAATTTAGAGTGTGAAACACACACTGGGTGATCGGAGCAAGTCTGAATGGATGGGGTATCTATGTTACACTGGAGCATGGCATTCCAGTGGACTGGCACTACAAAACCAGTATTATTCCATACTGATGGAAACATAACACACATACATTCACTCAAATAACAAATACAAGTGACAAAATCCTTTCCACATCCATAAGCAATCTGAGCTGAAAGCGGAGTTGATAGCACAGTTCCCAGTATATCATGAGCATGAGTTTATGAATTACCATGGTGACAATAACAGGTGACACATATAACCTTGAACTTGGAATGATTTACTTCAAACATTATTACTCGATCATATCATGACTAAACCATTTATTTCAATTTACACAATTTTCAAAGCATGAACTGTATCATGAAAGAGTTAAAATTGGTACCTAGCAGAATAAATATATTAAAGGATTCAAGGACATGGTTTCAGATTTATTCCCCTTACAGTGATAGACCCTGCTTCAGCTTCCACCATAACAACACTATTAAACTTCTGTTTATTGAGCCCTTACGTTTCTCACTGCCCATGGCGTCCCTTAATGACCCATTAATAACACATGTATGTAAATTACAGCCGTAATTATTCCACTGACAAAAGTTATTTCCACACAAACAGCATCCCCATGGTACTCAAGCTATGCTAAACATTTTACTGTCTATGAACTGAGTTTAGGCAGAGCTATGCATCAATGTAAGGACCAAAAGTTGACCTTGACATCAACTGGACCGTGGTGCAGAATGCAGTTCGTGCAAAATTTCAGCAATATGGTTGATCAATGTCTGTAAATAATCAATGTCTGGACCAGACAATTCAGTGGCCATCAGATTAAATAAAATTTGACAGTGAGACCACAAATCCTACAGAGAGACATGAAAATATATGTATATATGCACTCTTTCTTCTGCCTCACTCTCTCTTTCATGTCATTGGGGTGGCCTAGTGGTTAAAGTGTATGCTTGTCACGCCAAAGACCTGGGTTCAATTTCCCACATGGGTACAATGTGTGAAGCCCATTTCTGTGTCCCCTGCCGTGATTTTACTGGAATATTGCCAAAAGCAGTGTAAAACCACACTAACTCACTCACTCATTAAGGTCATTACATCCAAATCATGTGGGTCTCTAAGTGCGTATTATGAAATATTACAAATCATGGCTGTCCTGTTTATGAATAACAAACTGATTAATAAGACACGCCACCCTAATGAACTGAGCTACTGAGTGAGACCATCACACTGTGTTACCTCCTGAACACACCTACAAAAAACATGGCCAGCTGAAGTTCGGTTCCAACCAAGAACCGTCCTGCTGGACACAATGTCTCTGCTGGACTTAACAACTAAAGAGATACTTGGGACCAATTTGATGCACAGTTGAATTCTGGTTACGAGAGTTTATTTTCTATACCCAGATTGCATTAAGCAATTTACTTTTGACAATATTAGCCAGGTATAGACATGTGCTCATTCAAGGTTCCAGAAAGGAGCTAACAGAAAGAGATGAAACCAAACAATGAGTTAACCTACATTCAAAGTCCAAATCTTTCGCACATGATTATCAACACAATTTAAAGCCAATCTTAATCCCTTCTTGAAAATTACCCGGCAGTCAAATTACCTAAGGCAAACTCCAGTCAATTTGAGTTATTTTTGGGACAAATCATTAATTTGCTTCAATCAGGCCAATAAACAAGTTAAGGTTCAAAGTCGAGATTGCCAAACTAGCTTCCCTAGATTCTCCAATCAGTGCTGAATTCTCACCGTTCTGCTTAATTGAAACCAGTGACATAGAAAAAGATTAGTTTGACACGCCTAAATTGGATTCAATAAAATGTGGTACAAAAAATTTAGCTGAAGCAGAAGAGCCGATGTAAATGGCTACCACATTCAATAAATCAAATTGTTTAAAACGCACCCTCTGGAATTAAAAGAAATAGTGGAGGCCCATCGGAATAAATTCCATCGACATTGAAATCAATCTTGGTAATAGCAATTACAGCTGTACAATAAATACTTGTAAAGCAAGATTAAGGACATTCCAACAGCTGACAAGTGATTAGGGTAAAAAATCTGGAATGTCCCACTAAATTCAAGATCAAACAAGAAAGAGAGAAACATGTGTCTGAGTCAAGTTCCATTCATGTTGTGTTCTGCCAGCATCAGGGGACATCATGGGTCCAAGGAGACAATGTGGGCTTTATTTGATCTTTCGGACTTGAACCAATTATAAGCTTGTACTATAGAGCGCTACACTCTCACTGCTAATCTCCCATGGGACTCTGAGGCAAAGTAGGCTGTCAGCATCCTTGCCACAAGAGTGAGTGAGTGAGTGAGTAAATGAGTGAGTGAGGATCTTCACAGAGTAACCTGTTAGCAGGGAGTCTTTTAGTGAGTGAGTGTGTAAGCGACAATCTTCTTTTCACAGAATAACCTGCTAGCAGGGACTCTTTACTAAATCTACATCTGTCTCAAGGATTTACTACAGTAGATCCTTTGTGCCAGGTATGCCACAGAATGTCCCTTGTTAGAGATTATACTTGACACTGAGACAACACACATAACACACATCACCATGCTAACTTAATGACATGTGCAGATGTGATGTGAAACTCCAACAATAAATGTCACATCTATATATACTGTGCTGGCATCAGGCCTCAGCAATACTCCGTACTCAGCAATATTCCAGCTGTCTGTAAATAATCAAATCTGGACCAGACAATCCAGTGATTAACAGCACAAGCATCGATCTACGCAATTGGGATACCATGACATGTGTCATCCAAGTAAAACGTAAAACTAAACTCACTCACTCACTCACAGAAGTCATGAGGTGACATGGTCATTGCTCACCATGGCAGTTCATTCATAAACTCTGTCCACATTTCATGACATGGCAAGTATTATGGATGTTGTGTGGAATTAATTATTCAATTTTCCGACAGAAGTTGAATAAAAACAAATCTGGTTCTTCAACCAATATTTCAAAAAGTAACCCAAACGTTAGCTCTAAAGGAATCAATAATTGTACTTAATGTCTTGTTTGTTACAAATCATGGGAACTGTTTTCCCCCAGAAAAATGTCCTCAAATACCAACATATCGCAGTCAAGTGCAAGTTACACGATATGTTTTGTAGACACAGTGTGCTTTGTAGTCCAAAGATACATTGCCTCAATGCACGCAAAACACAGTATCATAGCAACACCAGTTGGCGACCATGGGAAAAGATTGCACATTGGAATCTTATAAGTCAAACAGAAAATAGCAATCAAACTGTTCTTAAGAACAACAAAGGTTCCTGAAAACTAATTACAACGTACGGGGGAGTATTCGGTCTTAATTCTGGAAAAGTCCCATAGACAGTATTACCATGACTGTGTCCCATACAGACAAGATGATCATTGCTATCATTCTCCAATAGTCTTAGCTCAAGGGTCATTTATTGGAACAAGGCCCAGATCTGGTGCAGGGAAACCAGAGACAATCTTGTACCACACAGTTTATATCCTGACATTCAAAAGCACAATACATATATCGCAATTGAGTATTACACAACACACAAATATAGAGACTGGATGGAGAAAAAATATACTGTCCCAAGGCTGCACAATAAATTTCATTTGCTGACTTATTCCATTCACTAAAGTAATAACAAAAAACTACAGAACACCACATGATTTCATTACTTTATGGGACCATCACATTTCCTGCAAGTCACCTGAAAAATTAATCATGGGGTCCCCTATGAAGCTCTGGTTAAACATTTCACATTTAATGAGACACTGTCTCAAATAGTACCCATGTCATATTTTGATTTGATACTGTGGGCAGTTAAGCAGCCACTTCTCAAATCATTTGGTCATCATGTTGAAATGACTTATTCGGTACACATAAACTCCTTTCTGGATGACCTAACAATAATCAGCTCAATAGGCATCGATTCTATTAGGATATGTTTTAAAGAATGATTGAGTATCAACCTACTGACAGTACCAATACTACAATGTGTCCACACTGCAATGAGTTCACTTCACTAAAGTGCATGAGTAAGTGAGTAAATATTGTTTAATACCCCATCAGCAATTTCGTAACTATTCACAGCAAATTTGACTAAAGCGAACACCTGTAAACACTGATCCACCTACAACAAAAATCTGAACTTTGAAAGAAAGATATCTACCCAGTTAAATCTATTTTTCAGGAATTTGCTAGATAATTTTGATTTTGAAATAGCAGCCACAAATGTCAAACCTACATA